CGCAGGTCGATATTGAACATGGACCAAATCGGTTAAAGAAGCGCAAAGTGGAGTGCAAACAGAATGCAATTCCGTTTTTCTTAACAAAAATTTGTGGATTTTTGTTTATTATTCAGAAATTACAAAAGTTAGAAGCCTGATAATTTCCCCATTTTTTTTACAAAATACTCTATTCTTTGCGTCCAAAAATGAAAAAATTCAGCCATGCTTACACAAAGTTACAAGTTATTAAATTTTAGTTTTTTTTTCGCTCTTTTGAGGTTTTATGCTTACCTAGCATGAGGCAACCAACGCAGAATTTTAAAAATTGTTTTGTACATGCCTTAAGTGAAGACATATGAAGGCTAATGATGGGTTAATTCTAAAATGAATATGATGGGCATCGTGATTACTTTTTCTTAATAATACTTTAAGAATCAATTGAAGTCGACTGCCATATTGTTTTAGTTGAGTTTCTTGTACAAGTGGAATATATAAATAAATAAATAAACAACAGGATAACTGGAAGCAAAAATTAAGTTTTAGTAAAAACTAAGATCGTTTGTTGAATCTAATCAGCCAAACAAGTTTTTTGTTTATTGGGCACTTCATTCAGAACACCGTTAACGAAAATAAGGAAAGGAATACGAACTGCATATTTTAAAATATCTTCTAATTCTTATTGATCTAATGAGCTGCTCATATACTAAAAAGTACTGTAGCTTAAAATAATTGTTTGCAATTCGGCTGTGACCACTTACAGACTTATAAATGCAATCCCGGCTGGAATTATAATCAGGCTGGACAATTCGAAATAAGCCTCTTGTTCCGCCGCGGTTAAATTGGGCCAGCTTTAATCAAATCAAGTAAATAAATAACGTTTTAAGAGCACTTCTGAGCACTCCTTTTATGTTTTACATAAAACACACATAACAGACATATTATTTTCTAGTAGCTCTCGTGGCCTACGTCGCACATAACAACTGAAGGTTGATTTCCAAAGCACAATGGTATGTATTTAATTACGTACATGTGTATAAGAGGAAACAGTTACAACTTTACGCTTGTACATGCAAAATACAACTTTCTTACATATTTTCTTTTTGTGGTTAATTTCTGTTTTTCTTTCATGTGCTCCAGGTTGGTAAAATTTAGTGTCATAAAAATATATTCAGTACCCAATTCTATAAACAATCTATTTGGTGCAAATAAGAGTTGGAAGATCTTTTGTTCCTTATGGTGCTTTTCATTATTCTCTTATATCTTGTCTTTTGCTTTAGCTGATTAAGTGTTGTTTTCCTAACTTCCCCATTACTAATTTACTCTTGCCCACAGCTTACTAAACCTGTTGCTGCTCCTTTTTTTGCAATGCTCTAATAATGCGTGTTATGTGTTATTTTCAGTTATCGTTGTAAATATTTAAAAACTTTTCGTGCCTTTTTTCTTTTAAAAATTTTACTTACTAAAATTGTTCGTCTACACAATGCCATTCCAAAAGTGGCCCAGTCATCGGCGAGTCCGTTAAAGGTTTCTAATGCACTTAAGAGTACTCCATTCTTGCTTCCAAAAATGTTAACATTCCTTCCATCGTAAGAAAAACAATAAATACTCCTCCCGTCCTAGCTGTAAGAGTGTATATGCTGAACGCTAACTTGCACAAATTGCACAGCCGAGTATAACCCCTCCCTCGTTTTCTTTTACAACTCAAACTTCTCCGCCCGTGATTTCTAATATGGATGATGTCTCGTTAACAGCTCTCAACGTCCCCCAAATAGCGCCCAAAAGGCAATATTTTTGCCAAGACTGGTGATGGACACCTGTTCATTTAAATTTTACAAGTGCCGGAAAAGTCCCATCCTTCAATTTAATGCGTACTAGCTTTTTAAAATTAGGCCTATCTTCGTGTAGGGCTACCTCGTCCTGTAAGATCTCAGTTTCCACTGAAGACATGGAAAATTTGTTAAATAAATTACTATGGCCGCTTGGATCCTTAATAAAGGCATTTATTTCTCTTGATGGACTCCGAAAGTTGGTCCACTCGCTAACAACTAAGTATTCCCTCAAGCCCAATAACTATAATTTACCAGTATGTTCAAAAATTCGTTGTACTTACCTAAATTTATTTGGATTGAATACACATGAAAATTGGTAGTAAACAGTTATATGCAACTTGGTTTCCATATTTCCCCGATTGGGAATATTTCTACTTATAAGAAACATTATGTTAGTGACATGCCTGAAAGGTCTGAACCTACTGATAAGGTCATACCGTTAGTGGACTTTAATGTGCCGCAAGTCGCAATGATAATTCAGGCTAAACGGTCCCTGCTTCAACATCTGATAGAGTTACTGTGTTTCTCAATCAATTATTTGATCAAAATCTACTTCAATACAAGCGTACTGTTAATTAGAACTTGAATTGCTTTGCCTATTCCCCGGAGACAGTCGTAAATCGTTGTCCGTCTTTCAGTTTACTTGAGGATCCGTATCTTTCAGAAATTTTCGTGTTATTTCAATGTAGATAGGATATCCCGCTAAACTACCAAAACATGTAAAATTCTAAGTAAAACCAATATCTTACTGGTGGGTATGGTGGCACCTAAATATCATAGTTTTGTATTGTATTAAATTTAGCTACTTCTGCATTTGTTCTGATCAGACAGCCTGCTCTTTGAAACAGCTGATTTGACAAAGCAGTTAAATACTACAAAAATAGACAAAGCAAATATTTTAGAAAATGTACGAAAAATAACTCCGCGTATGATTATTTCGTCTACTCTTCTGCAAGGCATACATTTAATTACCTCAACCATCGCAGATACACTCAAATGAACTACCATGTCTCTTGTTCTGGCTCCGACATCTATGGTAGTGTTGACACTTCGGGTCTTTTTTAATGAAATTTTCGGTTTTCCGATTTGATCATTTCAAAAGATTACGTATTACATGGCTTGAAGTCTCGAAAATAGACTTGTGCAGCAGTGGCTACGAAAATTTCAAGTGATGCTCTGACAAGCCATATGGAATTATCTCAAAGATTTTTAATCAGTCTTTGAAAACAGGTGTTTCCTGCTATGTGTTGGAGAAATAACTTCCTGATCCCACTTCACAAACGTGGAAACAGACATCTGGCCAAGAACTATAGAGTAATTGGCAAGTTGAATGTCTTAACTAAATAGTTTGAACGAATTGTTACTCATCAATTATCGTTCGCTACCAAATTTTAGGTATTTGAGAAGTTTGAGAAGCTCTTAGACTTTATTTACCATGTTTCGAAGGTACTTTTTGCCTCTCGCTGAGATGTCGTATACATCGATCTTAGTAAAGAGTTTTACTTAGTTAACCATAAATTATTGATTGTGAAACTCTGGCTTCCCTTTGTACTTATTGAAATGGATAACCTCTTATCTTCGTCACCTCGGATGAATTCCCCGTAATGTCAGGTGTTGCTCAATACAGCGCCTTAGTCCTTTTCATTTATTTTATATATCAACGATTTTCCTTCGGAGCTTAGTCAGACAAATATTTCAGTATGCCTTGTTTATGCGGTCTCCTTCCTAGAGGTGTTATGTAGATTCAATAAAATCTTGGTTCCCCGCCTCTGTATTGCAATAGATTGTTTCTGTTAGTCTTATAGTCACTTGAGGAACATAGATATCTTCTTGGCGTTTCCTTCCTAATTAAATTAATAAATGGTACTATCGATTCACCGGCATTGGTTGATGAGATAAACTTCACTGTCCCAAATCGGTTTTCGAGGAACTTAGCGCTGGTATTATTAAAAAAAAATTAATCGCGGTGTTTTATTCATTTTACAATTTCCCATTTTTAGGCAGATAATATATTTTGATAATCAGTGCACAAAATATTTTTAAACACTCTGATTTGTTTATCTTAAAAAAGTAAAAAAAATTAAATTTAATTACTCATAGCTTTGCGTTGGCATGGCCGAATGTTTTCAGTTTTGGACGTGAAAAGTAGAGTGTTTCGTAAATTATATGTATAGAATTTCAGCTTTCTAACTTTTATAATTTCTGACCAAAAATTCACCAATTTTTGTTAAGAAAAACGGAGTTGCGTTCAGTTTATGGTCCACTGTGGGCTTCTGCTCTCATTTATTTCAATTCAATACTCACCTGCTTGCAAAAACTTCCAATATTTCTAAAAAATTTCAAGTCGATAATTTCATTTTTGCGAGCAGGAGAGTGCCAACAACATAAACCACACAGGCACACAATTCAGAATTTCACTCTGATCAAGAATACTTTATACGGTCTTTGAAGCTTCCTTCCATTATGAAAAAAAACAATATGAGTACAGCCCCATCTTACCGTGGTGGGTATAATAAAAAAATCAAGCAACAATTTTATATAAAGAATGACAATAAGAAAATTAATGTAAAAATAACCAATCTTACTCATTGATTAATGATAAAAAAGATTGATTAGAGCTGTTGTGTATTAATTGATCCACAATTTGTGCATAACTTCTTCAAAATTTGTAAATTAAATTTCTGTTTTACGGATAAAAAAATCATGCCTACAGTAAACAAAAAACATGTTCAATTTTAAAACAAACAGGGGAACAACAATGGAAATTTATGGCAAATAGGAGGGTATCCGAAAGTGGACTTTGTTCAAACCATTATTTTTTATTAATTCTGGGAAAGTTAGATTAAAGTGATTCTCTGAGCTAGTTTCCTCCCTAGTTTCGCTTAATGTTTGCTATCACAAAAACTTGCGTTATGTTTTTGTGAGCAGACGGGAAATATTTGCTGCAACTGTTCCGAATTTAAATCCCTTTTTTTACTTAATATTGTATATATATATATATGCATATATATAATATATATAAATGCGTATATATATATTACATGTATAAAAGTGTATAAACAAACCCAACCCAACGTTTTGCATTTCTAGAAACTCTTTATATACCTTTATGTTTCTTTATTTCATTATTTTATTTTATATAACATGCCTCCAGTTCTAATACTTTCCTTAAAACTTTCTAAATTTCAGAAAATATAACGATAGTTGGCCTCCCGGATTTTGTGAACAACGATTTCAAAATAGCTTTTTATGCAAAGGAAGCACAAAGATATTTGTGTTTCAACGAACATTGGAAATTGGTTGGAATGGTAAGCTGAAAGTAACGAAAATATATATAAATGTGAAATTGAATTTTAGTATATTTGCCCATTCAATGTTGAAATAAAGCAGACAACATGCTAAAAGCTCTTTTCTTTGGCATAATATGGACCTTTTACTCCATCACTCCATTTCTAAATATCTTAGCATCCTGTGTAATTCTATCCAAAGCTGCATGCAACGTTTCCAATGTACTTCTCAGATGTCGACAGATACCTCGATAGTGGAAATCTGTTTGAATTTATGCCTCATTTCTTTCCTGCTTTTCATCTAAAAATATTATCGACAATCGGAAAATTAATATGTTTTCTAAGTAGAGGAGAGGAAGAGATGTAAAGAACTAAATCTATCACAGTCAGGTAGAATTGCTACGTTGACTGCAATTGCGTCACAATCCTCACAAAAATGCTATCAACTTCAAATGACCAGGAACCCAGCAGCAATGCTGAAATACCAATCTTAACCTAACCTTAACAAATACAAATACGACTCAACTAAGCAAGTTGAATAACAAAGAAACAGCTGTTTTCATTGCCCACCACTTCCTCAAAGCCATCCATCAAACCAAAACACTCATCAAACAAGGAATTTTAAAACAAATCGAATCAGTAAATACACTCTTGCAATTACCAAAGTAGAAGAATGAACTAATGCAGAGAGAATATTCTTTTTTTTTTTGAAAATAGGATAAAATCGAATGCCACGCCTATAAAAAT